AATTCAATAGTCTTCCCTACGCGGAGATGCTTTTTCGGGTTTAGGTGAGACGATATCATGAATACCTTCCTACGAATTTTCCCTTTGAAATGGAGATTTATGTAACAATATATCACTTAGGGATTCTTTGAACTCAAGTTTTTCCTGATATATTCAAGAATCTATCATATCTCGTTTTCGAGCAATATTCTGACCTTGTATTAATCCATACTATAGTATCATAAAGTCAAAATTAGCAAATTATAGTTTTATATTTAAAATATACATTTATTGCACACTAAGGAATGTACAATTTTAATCAACAGTTGTCTTGTCTCCTTTCAATTCTTGCAAATAGGCCCGCGTTTCTCAATTCCCCTGAGTAGTCGCGTATTCTTTCTTCAGTAGCTTCATGTAGTATTGTCTTTTACTGTTTACTGATCTTATAAGAACATGGTGTCAACGACAGCAGAGTATAAATTATATGATGGAATTAACACAGAAAATAAGCTATTTAGAGTTCGCAAAGGTTTTTAATTAAATTTTAAAATATGGTTTAGAATGGGTGATTCATTTTACCTTGGATGCCAGTCTAGTTGGAAAAAACGTGAGATTCTTTACCAATTATCCGGAAGTACGTTCACCTTGCTTCAATCGCACACGATTCCGTGAATTGCATATAGTCAATCCCACTATTAGCAGATGCCCACAAGATACCTTTGACAATTACTTTGAAATACGTCCTTTAATCGTATCTGGATCGTTTCAATTTTATTTTTCAACCGACGGTTCTGACCTTTCTTCTTCGCTTGAAGCGTCTAAGATTGCTGGCCAGGGCTACTTCATCGTTGATCCACGTTTTACTGGATCCTATGAATCTGCCGACGGTGGAGGACGTAAAATAAACCGTAGTTGGGATTTAGATGGAGTTGTCTTACAGACATATTTGGCGAAGAATATGGGATTATTTTCCCAGTGGCCGGACAGAGTAAAGCACGCTCGTATGGCAAACTACAACATGCTTCATTTCACCCCTTTACAGGTAAAATATTGAAATCCATACTCTATTCGTTTATTATAACTTTTCTTAATGAATCTTTATTTACCTCTTTTTTAAAATCAGGAGTTAGGATATTCCAGATCGGCATATTCGCTCCGTGATCAACTTAGAGTTAATCCTGAATTTTCCCCAAAGGGCTGTGAGAAGCCTGTAGATTGGGCCGATATTGAGAAATTTGTCAAGTTTTTAGAGAACGAATGGTCTACCTTAAGTATGACAGACTTAGTCTTCAACCACACCTCTAATGATAGCAAATGGCTTCACGAGCATCCTGAATGTGGATATAATGTAGTCAATTCACCTCACCTTGCTGGTGCTTACATACTTGATCGCATAGTTTGCCGCTTGACCCAAGAAGCTGAAGCTGGACGGCTGAGGTCTGTTGGAATTCCCGAATGTCTCTCTAATGCATCAGCTGAGTCGGGAGCTGTTCGATCTTGGCTTTATGGAGAAATTGAAAAGGCTCGGGTACATGAATTCTATCAGGCCGACATCGATGCAGTGTGTTCAGAGTTTTGTGAGTGGTTATGTAAGTTTACCTTTAGATTTGAGAGTAGCACATATGCTGCACGTTCAACTATTTTAATAATTGTTATTTATCCTGTTTAGACTGACACTAAAATTATCTAAATTAAT